ATGTTTGAAGGAGCTTGGGTCTTTTGACGAAAAGTTTATTTGAATGGACACAAAGAGGCTCTGTGAGTTGACATCTGCTGCTGACAGCCTGCAGTTAAAACCTCTAGTCGATCTTACTAGTCGTGCCCTTGCATGAATTATTGAGGGGAAAACTCCTGAGGAGATGCGTGAGATATTTCATTTGCCTGATGATCTTACTGAGGTGTCTGGTGCTAGTTGAAACTTCTTTATTTATTATTGTCCGTTTTCTTAATCTCTTCTATTATTTTTAATACTTATTTTGTTGGTTTAGGAAGAAAAGTTGGAGCCTTTGAAAAACATAACTGATGACCCACGCATTCGACTGTTGAATAGATTTTATGCAAAAAAGAGGAAGGAACTAAAAGAGAGGGAGAAACTAAAGGTGACTGTCTCTTGCTTGTTTTCTGCTGTTTCCATGCTCTGATTATTTCCTACCTGTGCAGTGTCACTCCTCAGTAGTGTGTTTTTCTAGTTGACCTGAGCTTGCTCTGTCAACTAATTTCATAATGCAACATTATGCAACTTCCTGCTTAAAATGCATGTAAATAAGCTAAGACTTCCGTGTCTCAGAATGTTGAAGTTGAAGAAGAGCATATGGACGATCGTTCAGTTGATGATCTCTTGTTATTTATTAATGGAGGCGATGGAGGTATGCTTAAGTTTTGTTTTGATGTAGTTTGTTTGCATATATTTAATTTTCTATCCCAAAGATTGTAGTTCTGTATTGCCTTCTTTGTTTCATGAGAATTGTGGTTGGTTGACCTGCTTAAATTGGCAGAAGAGTCTTGATATATGGTTTTACTGATTAAATAGCTCTTCTCCTAAAAGAATAGTAAAATTCAGTTCAGCTCCTCTGGTTGCATTCCATGTCAATTTCAATGTCCAAATGTCCTCTTCCTCTGCAGTCATTTGGGACTGTGAGGGACTGAAGAGTGAATGATAGGGTTGAAATTGGACAAAAAAGGCAAATTGTTTTGTGTTCCTTTATCAGAAAGCAGTTTGATAATTTATAAGTTTCAAAGACATAATGTTACAAGATGACCTGTTTTAAGGATTGTAGAAAATGAACTTTTCAGAATATAGGATAATAAAGTGATTAATGTGCCTTTATTTGTTTCCTTCAATCATCATCTTCTAGGAATAATTTTCCAAAAAACTAAAATTGAAAATTATCGAGGTTTTACACTCAATTATGGATATCAAGTAACAGATAAGAGTGTTTAGCAATGCTAATTATACTTGTCTGTTTGGTAGTTGGCATCTGTACTGGCACATAAGTTTTATATATCGGAATTGTAATCTTTTACTATTGTTCTGCTTGTATGGATGCCCTAAACTTTGTCTCTTAGTCTTCTTTTTCTAATTTCTTCTGAAGGCCTCATAGGAGGTTAGGCAATTCTGTTTTGCAGATTCTAAAGGGATTAAAACTTCAAAGAGTAAAATGAAGAACCGAAGAAGAAAAGATCAGCAGAAGAGCGCGTCTGCCAATGAAGCCACTAAAAACCATAATAAGGTCTGAACCTCTCCATTGTTACTTCTCTTTTCTTTCTATCAATACTGCCAAGTTACCGAAGTTCCCCTCATGTTCCAGGAGCCAAATGGTCTTTAACTCTGTATGCTGTAGTGCCAAATTTGGTCAGAAAATTCGGCCCAGTATTGGTGCTACCTCAAACTTACAGGATGTCGAAGATGACATTTTTTCCAATAAAAATGAGTTTGATGATGGTGATATTGAAGACGAGATTGATCCAGCATTGAAGGAAAAAATAGACAGGTAAAGATGGATATTTTCCTCTTAATTCTTCATCTTCCTCCTCCTCTTCACTCCCTTCTTCTCCTCTCTCTGTGAGCATTGAAGGAAAAAAATAATCATACCGTCATTTTTTAGGGATTCACGCGTAAATCTATTTATATTTCTAGAAGGAACTGCTGCAACATCTTTATTGGTAATAGAAACAGAAGCTCTTGTCATCCAGTGTTCTGTTTATTCTGTATACTTGGACTATGCTGGAATTTGGAAAAGAATCTGATATCATTGCTCTTAATCTTTGAAAAACTCTGTTCTAGTCCATACTATTTTTAGAGATTGTTCATATGAATTTGTAGTCCTACTAGTGGAGGAAAAATAGTACCGTGGACAACAACAATGAAAATTGCAGCCAATGAAGTACCAATGTTAAATGTCTTACAATTGTTTTACAATATTTCAGAGGAAATTTGTATCTGTAGCCCTAATGATCTTCCTTTATGTCTTTTGTTTAGGGAGGTGGAAGATTTTGCCCGTCGATTAAATTCAGATTGGCCTGAAAGAATGCAAGAAATCCTCTCTTTGGGTCAAGAAAGGAAACCAGTTGAATTTTTCACTTAATGGCAATGGTTTGGCAAGGAGACATGAGAGTATTTGCTTTCCCTTTTCTATTATAAGTTTGTCTAGTGTTGCTTGTGAAAAGTTTTAATCGGATTTCCTGTGATTTTTCATTTGCTTTTTCACTGTATCCATTATTGCGAAATGGGATAATGTTACTAATAGCCGAAATATTATGAAATATTCCATATGATACCATCTTAAAAATCTTTAATATAGTACATGAATTATAAATTTATTAATTAATGTGATATTTAAAAAATTATTTATCCGTCATGCGTTATTTTTTAGAGTTAACACATTAAAAGTAAGTACAATATTAATTAATAAATTCATAATTCATATATCATATTAATAATTTTTAAAATTAATGTATCGTATTAAATGTTTCACTATAATTTATGAATCATTTATGATATTAATATCTGTAAAATTAACTATTTGAACTTGTAAACAAAATGCACCTACGCGTTTGCATTCTCATCTGCTCCCTTGATGCTGAAATTCAAATAACGATTTTCTTGGTTGTGATGGTTCATTGTTTAGAATTCAAAACAAAACTTCATTTTTTTGGTTTTGTTTTCAACTATTATTTTCATTTAATCGAATAAGTAAATAATTAACACTAAAATATTCGCATGGCGAGTGTCAGGTCCGGAGCAGAGATGGTTTCACAATGACTGTACTGCCTCAGCTCAAATCACAGCATGGACAATTTTGATTAGATGCTTTTCAGGTGGTTGAATGATGGCACCTAGCAGGGTTGGGATGCATTATGGATCTTTTGTAAGTTTTTAACTTCTTAATTTCTTTTTTTTTTTTTCTCTCTTTGTTGTGCTTAGTCAGGATGCAATTTTGATTTTGAGGACAACATCTTTGTTTTCTGGTAATAGAAAGAAATAAGAAGGGAACTGCGTTTTATTGAACCAGTTCTGGTCAATTTTACTTCCTCTCCCAAAGCTACCAAAGAAAAAACACAAAAAAAATAGCGAATCTTATTCGTGTTCATTACTCAAAATTTCACAAGTCTGATATTCGCCCAAATCATGTTTGGACAATTATGGTCCTATTTTAGAAGTCCCATTCATGCTGTTTTCAGTTGCCTGTATAAAGCAAAAATATTATCTTTAGGAATGTAAAGAATCCAATATAAATAAATTTTATTATGCTTATGATCTTTTTGTTTAATTAATGAATCTTGAAACATTATTTATATTTGTTGATTATATTTAATAAATAAATTTAAATAAATAAAAATCAAGTTTATATATAAATTATATATAAAATATTATGTTTGTTTAATTCTTTAATTAACTTTGGATTCATTTCAAATAATTATTGAATTTTAAATTTTAAATTTAATTTAATTGATTCATTATTGGTGTTAATGTGGATCCTCCATTGCAGCTTCAGTGCCGTCTGTGTAACGAAACTAGCTACTATCAATGAGGTCAGGTCAATCATGTACTAACACGTGTCTTCCTCTTACTGGTTGGAAAAGGAATTCAACCAATTATTAGTTGAAATGTACCGGAAACCAGTGAGGTTGATATTACCTGATCCAGATGGAAAAATTATTTCTTGTGCGTCGATCTGTACGTAGGACTTAAGCGTCGTTGATGAAGGGCTATGATTGTCGCAGGAAAAAGGGTGGCTTCATTTTGTAGGCATTTGGATTCGATAACTTTTCCCTTACTTCGTTATGGGTTTGGGATTGGAAAGAAATCCCCAAGGATGAAAAGATCAAATCAAATCAACAAAATTTATTGCTAGCCTAAGTTGAATATCGGTTTACCATAAGCAATGGTTTCTTTACACCAAAGGCATATGCTATATCCAATTTAATGGGAGAAAATGATGTGATACGGGCATGAGTACAAAAACAATTCAGTACTCTCACTTCTCAAAACCCACCAAAAATTTTTTAAAAAAAAATCCCTTTTTAAAAGGCAAAAATGATGTGATACGTGCATAAGGACACAAAATCCTATTGTATTTTCTGAAATATTATTTTTTCATTAAACTCTTGTTAAAAAAATTTTAATTGTTTCGATCCAATTAAAAATTTAATTGGATAAAAATATATATTTAAAAATTTAACTAGTTTGAAACAAATATTTAAATTTTAATTAATTACAATAAAATAACACATTTAAATATTAAATTTTCATTTAAAATTTTTTTATTTTTATATTTTTTTAAAAAAATTGCTTCGTGGTTTTTGATTGGACGGTAACTCTCACAAGCTGTAGTTTTAGAGTGGTGAATCACTGGTTCCCTTTCAGTTTAATTTTCTGTGAATTATTTAAAAATTTTAATTATATTTAATAATTTATATATCCGTCTCATATTTTATATAAAAATTATATATTATAATTCGTGTTATCATAAAAACATAAAATATATATTTTTTTGAATTCATCAAACTCATAATTTTTGTTAAAATTTTAAATTATATCACATTCGTATTTTTTTTCAGATCATCTTCTTGTCGTATTTTAAATTACTAGATTTAATTTCAACTCATGCAGTGCTACAATGCGAAGAATATTTGAGGGAGAGCAGGCGTGCAGTCTCAGATAACCCTCCAGCCAGTGGCCACAAAGGCACAACATTGAAATATTTCATACTTTTATTTCACTAATCTGTGGAATACCAACAATCTCTTCTATACAAATACAACAGATGGAAATATAGTGTGACTGCAAAGTCTGAGACAACTATAAACATCAAACAATATGTTGAATCAAAAGTGTAAAATGATAGTACTGTATTTTTAGTGTTGTTGCAGCCACTCCTGAATCGCAGAGCGAAGGGCGAGGTTAGGGACAAGATTGCTGTGTGCCAGCTTAATGTTAGTCATGGGTGAGGCATCATGACCACTATCAAGCCAACCTCTCAAAGCCTCTGCTTCGTAAGTGAAACCATCCGCAGCTACATGAGGATCTAGCATTAATTCCTGAAATATTTAAGCAAATAGAGGAATAGAATTCAATTGAGGAACAATGTTAATTCTTTGTATGAATCAAAATGTTGCAGCTACTCTGTAGCCTTATAACAGGGAAAATGATCTACATATGATATGTGTGTGTGTGTGTATATACATATATATATATATATATCAATATGATTTTTATATTATATTAGGGATATGGTTTCGATATGATAATAAATGGGTTGCCCGGGACTCGAACCCGGAACTAGTCGGATGGAGTAGATAATTTCCTTGTTAAAATGAAATAGGTAAAGAAAAAAAAATCCCTCCCCAAACCGTGCTTGCATTTTTCATTGCACACGGCTTTCTCTATGTATACATCTAAAACCAATTTATTCCCTAAACTGGACTCAAAAAAGTGGACTACTCAGCCAATCCCCTCTTATTCTTACTGCATGAACATTTAATACTAGAACTGAATAAATTCTTTTGTTATCTCTTCATCATTTAGGAAAAATTCCCATTTTATATTGAATTTGAATTTACATGATTTCATAACCAATCATTCATGATTGACCAGAGCATTGATACAAATAACATCGATCTTATCGTAGATCCATTGTGATATTGAAATTATATAATAATGGAAGCGGCAACTTTAGTTGCCATCACTATATCTAGTTTACTTGCAATAATGAAGAGTTCGCCACATTTTTCAATTATTTCCTGAGGGATGAAAAATCTTTTTCCCTTTCTCATTTACCCATTTCTAAGGGCGATGAAGGAAGGAGAACTTAGCCATTGCAGATGGGACACCCCAAGAAGTATATGAAAGATAGGAGCAGGAACAGATTAACTTACCTGGAAAATGGGACAGATAAAATAGGAAGGAGGTTGGTGATGCTCTTCAGAACCCAGCTGGAACGGGGATGAGGTTCGGCATGAAGTCCTCATTGGCTCAAGCACCCTCCACACATCAGTTGAAAGGTCTGGCCGACTCTTCCGGTTCATCTCACAGCACCTCAAAGCTAGGTTAGCCAATTGCTCAGCTTGCACAAATGGCCAATCACCAGCCAAAGGATCCAAGAGATTTTTCAAATTTCCATTATCTAACGCATACTGCACTTCCTTTGTTATACCCATGGCTTGTTTTCCTGTCAACAACCTTAACAATATGACTCCAAACGAGTAAACATCAGCTTTTGGAGTAAGTTCTCCCGTAGCTAGGAACTCTGGATCAATGTATGCAAAAGTTCCCTTGGGGTCAGTTATACAGCCGACAGTTGTATTGCTGCTTAGCCGACGACAGATTCCAAAGTCACTCAGTTTAGTAACAAAATTGGCATCAAGGAGAATGTTCGCAGGTTTCAAATCTCCATGCACTATGCCATGAGGCTTACTAGACTGAAGGAAGATGAGAACAGAACACAACTCAGTAGCTATACGGATTCGTGTTTGCCATGATAAAGGAGGGGAATTATCCCTGCAGCTAAGTCGGTCTTCAAGACTTCCATTGGGAAGATACTCATAAATAAGAGCCCAAGCTTCAGGACAGGCTCCAATGAGAGTGACCAGATTTGGATGCCTCATCTTACTCAAAACATCGACCTACACACAACCAACAAATGTCATTCAATGCTACCTAAACTTGTAACCAAATACAGTTTCACTCTTCTAAATGTGCAGTTCTATGCCACTTGCATAACATAAAATATCCTTTCTAAAATAATGTGAAATTGTTGACACTAGGGATCTTTGTTCTTACGGTCAGGGAACCTAAATGTTTTTCCTTGTGCATATATCAGTCTCCTTTTTTTCATTTCAATTCTTATTTAAAACAAAATAAAAATAAACAATTATGTTACATGCATGGCATGATACTATTGTTTAACAAATAGGTAAATTTAAACTTATTCATGAGCATACAAAAATTGCTAGAAGAGAAAGAAAACACACAAACATCACTAAGACACAAAATACAGTTCTAGGAGAATGAACAATCAACTTTGAGATATGTATGAATAAGGCATGCTCCAAACGCAGCCAAACAACAGTATTTACAATTAAGTCTTCTGATTTGTGCTAGATGTACCACAGGCTCTGTGAATGTACATTACAGATAACACTAATAACAGAACCCAAACAATAAATAAATGAAAATTTAGGGGACCATACCTCCTGTTGAAATTCTGATGGGCCTTGCAAGCTATGAGAATGCAACATCTTGATGGCCACAGAGGTATGGCGCAGGAGACCCTTATAAATGCTCCCATATCCCCCTTCCCCAATCTTCAGGGTGGGATCAAAGTTGCGAGCTGCTTCCTCAATCTCTGAGAAAGAGAAATCAGTGAAAAACTGAGGCAAATGTGCACCTGAGATCTCAGCTCGACTTTTCCGCAACTCTTCAGCCTCTTTGAGTGCATTGTCTCGCTCCATCTGCAACTCATCTCTTTCGTTCTTGTAACTCTGCAAAAGTTCAACGGCTGAGATTATCTTCTCCTCGAGCTCCTTAACCACCTTTTCAGATTCCACGATTTGTTTCTCCAGTGATGATTTCTGATCCAAGGCATCTTGAAGTTCTACCATGACCTCATCTCGCCGGTTCTTCATCTTGTCAAGTTCCTCTGTTTCTTTTGCTAATGCTTCCTCAATTTCTTTCCTTTGTTTTAACTCCTGTATATACAGGATTTCCGATGCTTTGACCTGTAAATTAGCAATCATGATCGGTTCTTTAACAAAAGATGATGTAAGTTAACACATCTTTGAGTAAAAAAAGTTACAACCATTTAGTTTATAGATTATTCAAGGCCTATCCTACAGATTTGAGGATAAGATTCTTTTTAGATCTAAATTTCTCCAGTAATGACAAATGAATTATTAAGAGATCGTTGCAAGCATTCTGCAATTAAAAGGTCAACCAACTTTCAATTCATGATAGGACAGTTGAGCACAGTATACAAAAATACATGGAAGATTCGCTGTCACTACAGTAAAGACATTAAGCATTAATTTCTGACAATCAACAATACTAGAAGAATCTTGCACGGTTTGTGTGTTTGATTCAATGGAATGACAGCTGAAAATTTACCCTACGTATAGCCTCAAGAGCATCGTTCTCAGCTTTTGCATGCCTGACTGCCTCTTCAAATGCTTCTCTTCTTGAGTTTACTTTCTCTGCCATTACTTGTTGAAGCCGATTATAAAGAGTATTATCTATAATTCCATCCTACAAGAATAAATCAATCATTTGTGAACTTTTTGAATAGTCTAGATATAAAAGAATTGGCACTGCACGAAGTTGGTTGGTCAGTTTAAGAAAAGGAAGAAAGTGAAGCTTAACATTCTACAACAACAAATGAAAGTTTTGCACATACCAGAACACTGGGAGGAGATGACAGATGAAAGTTCTCTTTAGCCTGAGGCATTGAACTAGATTCTAATCCATTTTCATTCACCTCGGTTGCTGTATATGGGACAACAGCTGCATCAGTCATTCCGCTGGAAGAGCATGATGACAAAACTGAACTCTGAGTACTTCTTCTGGATAAACCATCACATTCATCAGAACTCCCTTCTGCATCAGATCTGTTCTGCGGAATTGATAGCCCTCCACTATCATCAGGGGAAGTGAAACCTGATACACTTCCCACACACCTATAAGCAGCTTCAGATCTCACTCTACGTAATGAATCTGGTGTAGATGTATAGGGTTTCAATTGACTAGTTTGCCATGGTATAACAGATTGTGATCTGCGGTGATATTCCCCAGATTCAAGGCTTGGACTTGCTGGCAGTGATGATGCTGATGCTGAAGATGATGCAACTTCTGTATCATTTACATGTAAACTTATTTTCCTGTTTCAATATTTTATTTACATTAGTCACCATAATCATTGCAACCAGTAATAGGTCAAATTCATAGTATCAATATACAAGTGTACTATCTCTCTTATGAGTCAACAATAGTGCATCTTGTACAGGCATTGTGAAAAGCTTACAAGCTGCTTTATTTTTTAAGTTTGACACTCATCACAATCATGCATACCTTGTGAAGATAAGAAGTCCCTTGCAAAGAAACCATATTGTGTGGCAAGAGGCAGGTGCATGTTCACGCACAGAGATGGCTTTCTTGGACTTGAGATCCGCTACTTTCCTGCAATATAAAAGGAATAAGATAAGCAACATCCTATTGGTGCTTCTCTAAGAGGAAAGACGTGCAAGTTCCTTAAAAGATCCACAGTAGATCTAGTTGAGCCCATGGAGGTTTGGATGATTACTTATGTGCTTTATACTTTGAATAATGTTTGTCTGCTGCTCCTCCCATTACAAGCATCCGGATCCCATTCTCAGATATCATTTCCAAAATCCCCTTATCTACAGAATCCATTTCAATGTACAGCTTCTCTGCTTGCACCTACAGTAAAATGACAGAATCTAAGACACATCAGAAATGTTTACAAACAAGTCAAAATCGTATTTAGAAATGAAGTTATGGAACAAAAAAAGATGAACTGAAAGAGGCAGAAATTGTAGCTTGACAACTTGAGCTAAATTTTTCCGGATCTTATGCACACACCACAAATAGCCATCATAAAATCATAATCAGTGTTTAGTAATGTTTTTGAAAATCGCTATTTTGTCAGAATTACAAACTCTTCTAACATGAATTGAAATTCAACAACAACAACAACAACAACAATAGCATAAACTAAGGTGCAAGAAGAAACTAATACCCCAGTTTGGCGACAAAGGAGAACGTATTTATCCAGGATCTTAAGCATTTCTTGTCTTTCAATTTCCCAGTATGCCTTGACTTCCTGTTCTTTGAGTTTACTAGCTGGAAATTTAGTACCCACTGCAAAACAAACAAAACAAAACAAGAAACAAAAACAAATAAAACAATTTCTCAATTAGGAAATGCAAAATCAAGTAAGAGAAATGAAGGCACAGAATACAATTGACCATATTTTCCAAAAAAAAAAAATTTTAGTTTCATACTATCCAATTCAAATCCAAGTTTAGCTCAATTGTTCATGCAACTATCACCCCAAGCGCTCCAAGAGTGTAGGTAGGGTGCTTCAATCTCACATTAGATAGGAAAGGAAAGGTCACTAAGCATATAAGCGTTGGCACTGGATATCCCAATAAACCGGTTTTCCGGAAAAAAGATAATGGTCACTCCGACAAGTGGTATCAGAGTTAACCTTTGACTCATTCGACTCCACGCCAAGTCTGACCACTTAACAAAGTTTTGAGGCAAGACATGGTGGCAAAATCTGACCACGCAGAAGCACTCCAAAAAAGAGTAAGTAGGGTGACAGCCATGACGAGAACGTCGGATTGAGAGGGGAATTATATCGCGCAAAGCGCTCCCAAGGAGCAAACAGGTGCTTCAATCCCATATCTGTAGAAAAAGAAAAATCCCCGGGCATATAAATGCATATCCCAATAAGCTGGTTTTGCGAGGAGAGGGTAACCACAACGTAGCACAGCCACTCTGCGTCCAGTGGGTTCAACACCAAAACACCTCTAACCCCTTTTCCCATCCTAAGACGTAGGTTCTTTGTACCAAAAAAAAAAATTATCCATTCTATCCATCCAATTTATTTTAATTAAACAATCAAATAAACCAAGGCCTACAAAAATCAACCCAATTTAGGCAACTGCATCCCTAATTTTGACTTTTTTATTCCATCCCCATTTTTCCTACTGAATATTAATCTCAATTTTCATAAAGAAAAGTCAATTGCAATGAAATTGAAACTCACTGCCAGCAATTGGAATCATCTTAGCAGGCTCATGAACGTGAATTAAGCAAATTCGTTTTCCTCCCGAATGTTGTAAAGCCCATAACAAAACAGATTTGTTCTTCTCCACATCTTTGCCAACAGCGACATAGATTTTCTCTTCAATCACACGCGCCACCGATTCCTCCACGATTTCTCTCCGAACGGCCATGGTTCCCGGAGCTCTAACGTCGTGAACCGTCGTGAAACGTCACCGGATTCACCCCTTGCGTTATCACAGGCACGGGACTCACCACTGCCATGCTCCGATTAATAAAACAATCATAAAAAAAATAAATAAATAATTATCAACAATAATATTTTCTCTTCATAATCACATCTTTGCAGAAACGATGAACAGTGTCGTTTTTGTTGATTAAGGCTTTGGCATAAAAGGTTGTCGTTGTCTGCAGTTCTGATGACAATTGAATAGAAACAACGCAATGAAATCAGATTAGATAATAACTATGGCGGTTGGCGGGCTCTATGGTTTATCTCTTATACGATCGATTGCTCTGTCTGACTAAACTCTGCTTCTGATTTTGATGCGTTGAGCTTTGATTTTCCTTCCAGAAGAAGTTTCCACCGAATTACATTCCACGCTGAGTTGTTTGGAAACTGGGGATTGGAGTTTTGATCTTGTATGGTCCTTCTCGTACTTACAATCTACCCAGCACCCCTTCTCTTTTTTTTTTTATCTGATTTGAAATTTGATTTTTTTTATTGATTTAACACTTCGGTATTTATTTTGTATAAAATAATTATAATTTATATATATTTATATCATATTTTATATAAAAATATGTATCACATTCGTATTAATATAAAAATATAAAATATATATTTTTTATTTTATTAAATTTATTTATTATTTTTATTAAAATTTTAAATAATATCATTTTAATATTTTTTATTCGTACTATTTTAATATTATGTCACAATATCGTATTTTAAATTGCATGATCTCCACTTTATCACCAAACCACATTATTACCGGTCAATTTTATATATTACATTTATTCTTCCTAAATTTTATGTTTTCAAATAATGATGATATATATATATATATATTAATTTTTGACTCGTGCTTGATACATATATAATTTTTATTCTTAAAATTTTAATTTAGTAAATATTTTTTGGGTACTATGATAATAATTGTCATAATATATAGATCCGTAAATCTATATGTTAAACTTAATAAATAAATGGAGTCGCCACCAATCTTTTTTACTAGATGTGATTAGTCACCTAAAGAATCTATCATTTTAAAGAACACCTAAGCTTAAAGGTCCCTAAAAGAATATGTTCGGCTCTTAAAACCAGAATAGGGTTCGAAAGTCGATTACATATGAGAAATGTTATAGCACCTTCACATACCCATCTGAAGGATGGTATCATATTATTTTAAATTTATTATAAGGTATTGAGTCTAATGGTTTCAAATTTTAAGTTAAATATTGAAAATAATTTTTAAGATTCTCTATCAATTTGGTAGAACTCTTTAAAAAATATTTTTTCACATCTAGAGTATTCAAGAATTTTATTTATTTCCTTGAAGAAGCTCCGTCGTTGAAAAAATATTTAATTATTTATTTATTTTTTTGTCAAAAAATATATCTAATTATTACATCATTTTTGTCAAATTATAAAAAAAAAATTTGAATTTCTAAAATTTTTCACCATTTGAGCCTATTTAGAAATTCTTTTTATTTTTTTTTGAAAAGAAAATAATATGACAATTACTTTTATTAAAAATTTTCATCTAAATTATTCAACAATCTAGGTTAAATTTAGAGAAGATTTCTCATCTAGTGATTTCTTAAAAATTTACTATTTAAAATTTCTAAGAATCTCATCCTTAAATAATTATCAAATATTTTCAATCCAAATTTTTATTTAGAGAAAAAATATAATTACTTGTATTTAAATTTCATCTAAATCATTCTACCATTTGGGTCAAATTTAGAGAAAATTTCTCACCCAGAGATTTTTTAAGAATTTACCATTTGAAATTTTTAAGAATCTCATCCTTAGGTAATTTATATTTAATTTCAAAAATTTTTATATTTTTTTGTTTTTTAATTTTTTTGTTTTGAAAATAAATATTAATTATTGTTATTAAAATTTTATCTAAATTATTCAACCATTTAGGATAAATTTAGATAAATTTCTCATATAAAAATTTTATAGAAATTTACCATTTGAATTTTTTATAAATTTCATCATTGGATAATTAATATTTACTCCCAAAATTATTATTTTAATTATTTTATTAAATTAAATAATATAAAAAATACTCATAAAATAAATAAACACAAAATTTTAAATAAATAAATAAATAAAAATACCAAAAAAAATGAAAACGGTTTGGCTTGCGGTTGGGATCAGCTCAGCTTAAGATAGAAATCACAGCTCAAAACGCGACTTGGCTGGTAATCGGCTCGGCTCAACAACAAGATATGTAGAGTGGGCTGAAACGGGTCAGCACAACGAATCAGGTCCCCGAATGGAAATACGCGAATCTTGGGATTTATTAACGTTAAAATTTTATGACACTATAAAATGCAAATTTCAACCTTTTTTCAGCAGATGCGTCTTTTTTCCTCTCTCTCTTCTCTTTTTTTTCTCCCCCTTCCCTCTAAACAAAACCCAGATTCTGGTTGAAGTTCTATTGAAATCTGAAAAAGTCACCGGAAACTTCAAAGTTGGTCGGAATACTCATCGAAAAACTTAAATCTCGTTGAAAATTTTCGTCGGATTCTGAAAATTTTTCAAAAATTTTTTAGAAAAAAAAACACCAAAAATTCTTAAAATTTCTAAAGTGCTTCTAACCACTCATAGAATATTTCTAGACTTTGCCTTCTGTTTTTTATCTTTCTGATACGTCTCTCTGTGTTTTTGCATTTCTCTTTTTCTCTTCTCCCCTGTTGTCTTTGATCAATGTGTATTTATAGGGATTAATCACAGAATTTGTGATTAATTCAGACTCCCATTTTGAATAGGTTTCACAGATCATCAAATTCATCCTAGAGTCTTTGAATCCTATTGCAACTCTGTCAATCCTAATCTTTGACAGAATATTCCATTTCTATTATTATCTTAATCATTATCAGCAACCGAAGAGTAATCAAGAATAAATTCTAGAAGAACAAAAGAAAGAAAGAAGAAAAAATAAATAAATAAATAAATAACAAATAATATATAAAATATAAATAAATAAATATTTGGGCCTAGCTGACCCTATTGGACCAGGCCCAATTGATCCGAGCTTGGATCAAATTGGGTGTTTACAATAATAATAAATATGAACAATTTAATTTTAATTTTAATTTTAATAAAATTTGATATATTTTGGTAACATTTGTTAGAAGTTTAATAATCTTCGACAAAATTTTAGTAACCTTCTACATAATTTTGATAACTTTTGATATTAGTTTGATAATTTATGATATAATTTGGTAAATATTGATATAATTTTGATAATCTGTGATTAAATTTTAATAACATCTTAATGTAATTTTGGTAACTTTTATGATATCTTAGGTAATTATTAATAAAATTTGTGCAATCATATATTAAACAATTGATTCTCACAAAAAAAGTATTTTATGTTACTACAAGATAATTTTTTTTATATAGTAACATTATTATTTCATTTAAATTTAAATTATTTTTACAAAAATTTTTATTAAATAAGTTCATAGTAAATTTATCATAGCCTTTAAGATGAAAATTTTAACTTCATTCATGCTAGTAATCAATGTTCAATCCTTAACAACTTCAAGTAAAAAAAAGCAATCAAAGATTGGTAATTAAGTTATAATTGATTTACTATCATATTATCGATGATTTACTACTAAATTAGTATTGATTTACAACTAATTTATATATGATTTACTACAAAATAATGAATGATTTTTCATTAAATAATTAATAACTTACTATTAAGTTACTGATAATTTATTATAAAATTATTTTGGCTTTATAAGAGTAAGTTTCACTTTTTAATTTGAAAAAACGTAACAGGTTGAGAACTAGCCACTCGACCCACAGTGCTTATGAAGGCACAACACCTTATGATTTATTATAAAGTTATGCTAGTTTTACAAGAGTCAGCACCATCTTTTAACTCGAGAGAACTTAACTAGCCGAGGACTAACCCTCTAACCCGTAGCACTTATGGAGGTGCAGCACTTTATGTCCACCTATCATTTAGTTGGAGCTTTGTGCTATCAAGAATTAAGAAATAAAGTTACACTTTTACTATCAACTATAACTTTTAGTGTAATGGTAAATGCTTAATCTTGAAACTTAGTATCAGGCGATGTGAAGGTTCGAGTCTCCTAGTCTAGTGCTAGGAGTGTGATTGTTGGCTTTATGGGGTTAGTACCACCCATTGACTCAAGAGAAGACAATTGACCGATGATTAACCGCCCAACTTGTAGTGCTTAAAACCTTGGTGCTACTAACTTTTTCAAAAGAAATTGTTGTCAAAAAAGTGTATACCCTAACCTTATAATGCATTTAGTATACATAAACGCCCTTGGTATTCGAGCACATGGAGTTGATGAACGCGGTCAATCTCTTATTTACCAACAATCTCTCATTAGCAACAATACTGGGACTCAAACTCGTGACCTTGGCTCTGATGCCACTTTTAGAACATTAGATGTTACCAATTCTCCCAAAAGCAATTGCTATAAAAAAAAAATGTATACCTTAGCCTTATAATGTATTCAGCACATACAAATGCCCATAGCATTCGAGTACATGAAGTTAATGGACGCGACCAACCTTTTATCTGCCAACAAAGTTATTATTAATTTACTATTATGTTATTTATGATTTACTATTAATTTATTACTAATAACTATTAAGTTATCGATGATTACTACTAAGTTATATTGATCACTTTTAGTTTTCATAAATTAATTACTAAGTTATCAATCATCTACTACTATATTATCATTAATTTCCATATATTCAAAAAGAAGGTAACCATAATGTATGCTAAATGGTGAAATTTGTAAGATAAAGAATGAAAGTAAGAAAAAGTTTAAGTGTCAATAATTTGAAAAACAATAAGTAAATGCCCTTAATTTACTATTATTAGTTTAACATAAAATAAAAAGTTAAAATTATAACTTTTTATACTAATACAAGTACCAAACTAAATTAAAAAAATATATACAATATATATTAAGTTAATATTTCTAAGACATTTAAAAAAAATTTAGTTTATTATAAAATAGTTTCTATTAAGATAAACTTTATTAATGATTTGATAGAATGATTAGTGTATATATTTTCATAATTGTTAGCGAATTACAATCATATATGAAAGAATGAAAAATTTAAAGTGTTGTGCCAACAATAAAAGTAATAAACTTTGCCTTATGTTTCTATCTTTAAGTATATAATTTTTTGTAAAAATTTAGTTATATTTTATGACAAAAGTAATGAGAAAAAATTTACTAAATAAAATTTATAAAAAATAAAGAGACAACAATTTTAAAACGTATTAAATTCACAATAATTACCTTTGTATTTGCCTTCAAAAAATTTTTTTACTAAACAAAAATATAGTATATTTCCAATTGATGTTTCGTTCTTATTTCCATCATTCAAAATCTTTTTTTGATATTTTGATATCAACCAACTTCTCCATTTAAAAAGAGTAAAGAATATTGAAAATGATTATAACAATTT